ACCCGTTTACATGTAAGTTTAGAAGTATACAGTTTCTCATAATACTTGATTTCCTTCGCAGAACTCTGATCGAGTGCCTCGCCTATGTGCACAGCTATTGCCTGACATTCGTACGTGGGCAAAGGAGAGAAAATCGTTTCCTGTTATGTCCTGGCTGGATTTTGTTGCCAAAGTGCGAGAGATCAACAATACTGCTGACGAAGAAGGAGTCAGAAATATCGCTTTCTATCTGAATGAAAGTGTCGAGGTAACAGAATTTTTCGCAACCGCTACAATTTACAAAAACAAATGCATTAGAAATGTACATTCTGATATGCACTTTTCGGAAACTTTGAATCGTAAGACAAAATTTGCCTTTGTTAAAGATCTAGGAAAGCTTAGTAAACTCTCTTTCATTTCCTGATCTACATGCTTGCTCTCCAATTTTCAGATCGTGAGTGACACTTCCCCTGAGCTTCGTGACAAAGTCGTCCTTGACGTCAATTGGTTGACATCTCACATTTTTGGAATCGCCTTGGCTCCCGCCAACTTCCCGCGTTCTCTCCGATTCGACAGAGTCGGTGGAATGGTTGAAAAATCCGACCTGGAAGCCACCTTTCGTGAATGCCCTTTGAAGCAGCTTATAGAGCTGTTGGTACGATTTGAAGTGTGTCTCCCATGGGATGAAGAAAATCTTGTTTGTGAAAAATACCTCTTCCCTAGTCACCTGGAAACGAATCGCAATCTGGACGATTTATGGCCAACGAAGTTCGGTAGAAGTGACAGCGATCGTTGTGTTGTTGGCCGTATTGTCGAGTGCAAGAACAAAACGGATGCTTTTCCTAACAGCTTCTTCCCAAAATTCCAGATCCGTTTGTTGAAACGCTTTGGACACAAAAGCCCAGTTTGGAATCGCGGCATCAAAATCGCAGATGACACGGTGGAGATCCTTGCCACACTTTCATCTAACCTAAAAGCGGTGAATGTCTGTGTGTGGGCGCCTAAAGGATGCGAGGAGCGTTGTTACTACTCCCTGACGTACATCGAGAGACTCAGGGATGATCTGCTTGACGAGGTTGCCGGGGGGATCGAGTTTGTTGAGAAAGCCATGAGCATCGAGGTGCTGAAACGCAGAGAATTTGAGGGTTACCCTTTGAAAGAAGTGGACGAGGCGCTCAAGAAAGGTGGTCCAAATGCCAGACTTACGCTAGAAACATGTGCAGTAAACGAAAGGGCGATTGATGTGCGATACTGCGGAATCAGACGGTACTCGCACCCGTGTGATCACATAAGTCACTTCCCGCTGAGGGAAAGAAAGGCATTATCCAAGATACTGGACTCTAATATTGAATCTGATCACTTACAACTGTTGTCAAACCATCTGAAAGTGCCCGTGGAACACGAGGATAGTGAATCTGGTAGTGTATCTCATAGAGAGTTGTTATTTAGCGCTCGAATAGAAGTGAGAGGGCTAACAATGTATATTTTAAATACATCAATCCATCTGGTGTTGAGTTAGAATAGTTTAGATTATAACAATCAAAGAGAACGTACAACGAAACGAACAAAGAACGAAACATCCAAACAGAACGTGTCATGCACCACGGTAGTGACACGTCCTGTTTGGATCGTTTGTTTTTTTGTTGTTGTTGCCGGTGTATGTGTTGGTTTTCTGGATTGAGTTATCATGTTTATATTTTTCCACTTCACTGATAGAGTAGTTTTCACTTTAATTTAAACAATTTTCCTTAACTTTCATACTGTTTTAAAAACAGAATACGTGACTATTTGAGAATGACGTGTCACAGTAATACTACAACTATGCAACTCTGGTGCAGATTTTTTTGCTAATTAACGATGAAAACTAACGAGAAACTCGTTAGTTTTCGTGAGTAGACATTTTTAGCAACAACCCATTCCCCTCTTCCATCACCCTTTCCCGAAGATAAAAAAAAATCTATACCTACTCGACATGTGAACTAATTCAGTAAATGGTTTGAACTATAGGGTAACAGTTAATAGTGTGGTCTTATCGTCCGGGCGAGAGTAGAACTGAGCAGGACTATTGTCGGTAGCGGTGGCTGATGTTTCGACAAACTTAGCAGATGTAAACTTCCGAGTCGAACCGATTGCCAACTCAGCTTATATCTAATCGCATGTTAACTTGGCCCAAACAATAACAGGTGCTTTTATTACGACTGGCACTTCCAAACGGCAGGTCGTTCTTGGGACAGTAAGTTGATTCTTTGTCCTAATTTCTTTGTTTCAGGTTTCACTAGCGTTATTCCGGGAAGTAAAACAGATCGATACCTCTCACGCTGTGCCTTTGAACGTGATTTGAGTACAGATGACTTGATTCAAGCTTTTGAGCGTGCCAACCAATTCCAAGCTGCTACAATTGTTAGTCAGTGGCTTGCCAACGTTCACAGCGCTCAAGACATTAATGCACTGGATAGAACTAGAGGTGAAAGCAGCGCTTCAGAGAGAAGCTATTCCATTGGTTCACGCAGTCGTTGGACAAGTGGAGCGTCCGAACATTCTGAAGTACGAACAAGGAGTACGGAAGGTAGTAGTGCCTCTGAGGGAAGTCCTTCCTTAGTAAATAAAACAAGTGTTAATGAGATAAGGAACCCGCTTCCACGGGCCAGTCCTCAACAAAGCTTTGACTCCCCCGACAGAAAAGAAAGCGGTGCATCGGAGAATAGTCTTCACTTTGATGTGGAAAAAGTGAGGTCTAGTAGTGGATTTTCTTCCTCAGGAGGCAGTTTCACTGGAGGAAACTTACGACCTCGTTTTGAGAGCGCAAGTTCAGCTTCTGGGCTCAGCTACCCAACTGAAGAGTCCTTCTGGGTGTCTCACGAAAGGCTTTCTCGTGAAGTATCTCAAACTAGTTCAACAGAGCAAGTTGTACCTGAGCCTCGTCTTGTTGCCCATCCTTGCTCGAATTGTAAATACTGTGAAACAAAACTACCTGCACAAGACAACGAAGGTACCGAGCCACCCCTCAGCATAGAAGAAACATCGCAAGATACAGGTGCTAATGCACAGCGGAAAGATTCTGATCGCGACGCATTACCAAGTCCCATCCAGGTTTCTGATGGCGTGTCTGAGGAAGAAGCTTCCGAAAAAGAATCAATTCCAACGTGTGAGACTGCAGGAGAACCGGAACTTGGCGAATCGTTTCCGTCGATAAGGCAACTTATTCCCCAGCTCTCCACGAGGTTGAGTGTAAATTGGAGGCCCGTTGCTGTTGATCTTGGTGTCAGAGGTTGTGACCTTCGACGTCTCGAAGACTCCAGCTTGCTTCGTGTCCAGGCGAGTGGAATGTTGAAACTCTGGTTGGATAACAACAAGTGCTCCTTTAAATGCGCAGATTGTCAAAACATGATCTCAAAAAGACTTGCAGAAGCATTTGAAAACGCACATCGAGCGGATCTCATGGATTTCTTGCAGCATTGAAGAGTTAAGTAAACTCTTTTGAATTCATTCTTTGGTGTTCTGTAAGAATGCCTTTTCGTTGACAAAAATATCGTCTACCGTAGGAATTTTATGCGAGATCTGAACAACTGCGCGCCTTCCACTCCCCTAGTCCTGTAAAAGTCAACTGATAACCTGTAACTAGGCACTGTATATATCGCTTGTAATTTTTCTCGTTGCAATTTAATTTATTGTTGGTAGGAAAGTTTGTCCAAACCGATAAATATTTAAATCGAAAACGGACGCTATTTTTTCCAAAAAAGTTGTGAAAAACGGGAAAAGGGGAATCATTTTTCATTTTGGTTTCCCCATAAATTCACAAAATGAGTGTTGATTATGAGAGAGAGTAGGAAGAACAGAATAGCTGGGCCGGATGTTAAAATTCAAAGCGACATGTGCACAAAACAATCAAGAGTTCGATGCACAGATCTAGACAAGAAACAATTTTCCGACTCACTCTTAAGTTACTCGGTTTAATAAATGTACTAACCATAGGGAGGATAAGGAATGTTTTTAGCAGGGCAGTATTATTAATTTTCATCATTACATGATGTTGTTTTATTTCAGATCCGAGTAATAATTCCAGATTTGAACAGAATGTTGTACATTTTTTTTTAATGACAAGGGCAGTGTGATGTCACAGTGACGGAATATGACGTCGTTACGGGCATTTTCTATATGAAATTTCTTGACTTACGTTGCCTCTCATTATTGGCTGAATAAATTAAACCGTCTGTAGTACGCAAAGAATTGTAAGGAAAAGGCATAGTCGTATATGAAACTGAGATTGCAATATCATTGAAAAATCTTCTCCATAAATACTGAAATTGTTTTCTGTTCTTTGTCTGTAAACCAACAAGCAGAATCTGATTGAAAAACTACATCCTTGCCCACACATTTTCCCAGTACTTAGCTGTCGATAAAAAATCTCACATTTGTACTCCCCCAAACATTTCACCATATGATCTAGATTGGGCGGCAGCACGGTTGGTAACATGCTAACTGATTCCAACGACTGATTGCCTTTGGATGTTTTACATTTATTATCGAATTCTATCAACGATAAACCGCAGAATGCGTTCAGAGCATACCGACAAGGGCAATATGGTTTCCTCACTGGGGGAAGAGGGGGTTTCTGTCACCCGTCGTGGCTTTTGCGAAGTGAAAATGGGGATCAGTTATTTAGGAAGCCAAATTTTGATGACAGAGAGGATGATAAGAATGACAAAGTTAATTACTTTGTAATTTAGTATTATCAACTGAGTTTATAGCGTAAATTGGCCACCGTGAAGAGTTTAAAAGCCGACGTTTCGAGCGTTAGCCCTTCATCAATCGCTCTGACAAAGGGCTAACGCTCGAAACGTCAGCTTTTAAACTCTTTACGGTGGCCAATTTACGTTATCAACTCAGTTGATAATACTAAATTATCCTGCTATACTCTTCCACCGACTCGGCACCACAGTTTCTTTAGAAACTTATCCCTTTTAAATAAATACTTAATTCATCGGGGTCGAGGGAATCAGATTCACAGACGTACATCTCTCTAATGAATCTAAATGCCCTTTAATTTTTTTAATTACACTACACAATTCGACTAGAGAGTGGCAATTCAGATACTCTTATCACGTCTTCTCCCAAACGTCTATCTCCCTTAAAAAGAGCCATTCATCTTGACTCTGTGTGACTACAATCCGTAAACACTTCATCTTTGGTGAATCTGTCAAAGTAAAGTTTGCTTTGCCTTCTACAAATGATCCAACTGTTACAAAGTCTCCACAGGATTCTGCATTAGTACCAGGCCATGACCAGGTACTTCTGGATTTCTCAGATTCAAAATTTGCTTGAAGGACACCAAACTTTAACCAGTCATTCACAGCTAAATTAGAACCAGTGTCTACAAACACTTTCTCTACATTAACAGCTTGATCAAACTTCACAGTCACGTGGTCATTAGTATGAACAGTCTTTCCCCAAAAGTATCCAGAACCACCTTTGTAAGCATCTTGAGGGCTCCCCAGATTTGATGCTATCGACGAGGAAACTTCCGCTGCTGGGTTTAATCCGTTGTATTTATGATCATAAAGGTCAAAGTATCTATCATAAGAAGCATTTCTCATCCACTCCTTTTCTTTCAGAGAGGATCGAAGACCTTTGTGTTGAAAGAGAGAAGCTGCAGGAACTACCAAGTGTACATTACCAGTTCCTTTTATCATTCGCCAATACCATATTAACCAATCCACGGGCATTTCGTCATACATTAGATAAAAATACGATGCAACATTCTCGAGATCTTTGGCCTGATAAACTTTTGCGATATGACCCATAGCGGAGATGTCAAGCATTGGCCAGTATCCCTTTTGGGAAGAGATAAACTCGTCCATCTTTGGAATTAAACTTGGAGATGCATTAACATCATCCTCAATGTGGAGGTAATACGTAGAAAGATTTCTACTATAACACATCAGAAAGGCAAAGTCTAAATTCTGCTTCGAACGCCATCTCCTCCTATCCTGCGAGTCACCATATTTCAGCTTAAGATTAGACAAATCAGGATAAAATTGAGGTGATGTTTCAATTACATGTAGTAGATCTTCCTCAATTTCTTTCCAGAAGAACTTTAAAAGATCTAGAGCTGCATTCGCTTTTAAAACTTTGTCAAAGTCTGCGAGGAATACAACTATGAATGTTCTCTTTTTGTCAGCGTCATTCATTTTGTCCAATAAACTTTGGATCGTTTTCAAGAGATAGTTTGCCCCGTTGGGTCTGCTTATTGAAGTCACACCTATCGTCATGTGCCCTGAAAGTGAACAGAATGTAAACTTCAGATGATAGACCAAAACATCGCTGAGTGTTATTTTCGGTTCCTTGCACTATGACATAGCCTGCAGAACCGGCATGATTTTTAACGTCTTACAGGCGAACGGGCGTGATTCGTACTTCACGCTCGCCTCGCGCTTGCCATTTTTTGACTGAAAGACGCAAAAAATTACACTTGTCCTGCAGGCTACCTTTGAAACATCTGCGAGGAAGTCAACCAAGTGGATTGGGCGATGTAATAGTTGCGCGCCATTTTTAAACGCGAGAGCTGCACGTGATGGAGCCTGGGAGCAAATAACACCTTCATTGAACATTAAAAGACTGAAAAATAATCCAGATGAACTTCACATAATACTTACTCTGTTGGGATGGATATCGTCCAAGTTTATTCACCAGTGAGCTTCTTAGGACTTGACCACTGGGGCACAAATGATTTCTTATTTCTACAAACGAAAACCACACAAACACGATATCAAAAGCATACAAGGCAAACTACGTGCATGCGTTCAAAAGATGGAGTTCATTGGTGTAAAATATGAAGCATTTGAACTTAAAGTGATGTAACGAAAAAATTGGCTTAGATTATGATGAGCAACCTGCCTGTATATTCCATTTGTGATTTATCGTTGGTTGCCAAACTTTGAAAGTTTTAAAAGTGCTCTACACACCACTGATCTTGATTTCATAGTTAGAGTTTATTCTAGGGTGCGGCTTTGCGGGATTTGCGCAATTTGAAACAAAATGGCTCTCGTATCAATCAATGGGTCACTGATTGATACGAGAGCCTCACGCGCATTATAATTTTTAAGCCTCTACATGTCACAATTGCCTTCCTATTGACTAAGCCCCCACGTTACGCTTCGTTGATTAGTGTGTTACGCCAAGCTGTCTAGCTTTGAACTTTTATCAATTATGTATCAACATTGTTCCTTTAGGGTTAGAACCTCCAGTGCTTTGTCGCTCACTCCCACAAACCTTGTCCAAATATTTGGGTTAGCAGTTTTATCGAGAGCTTTAATCCTCAGAGATCGACAAGACTTAAGCCCAAACATGTTCACTAATTAATAAATTAAGAAGTGTATTAAACTTGATCTAGTGAGTTGAACAGTTAGCTGAATAAAGAAGAGAAGCCAGAAAGATAAGTCGTAACACAACTTTTCGTTTTCTCACTGAGCAGAATATGCAAACACGTTCGAACACCTTTTTGGATACCCTCTTTCATGCCACCTTCTCAAAAGAGAGCCCTCCCCCCCCCTCACCCTCCCCAGTCCCCAGTTGTCGTCCCCACTGGCTTGTGGCTTTGTCGGTTGACTACGTGTCGCGATCTTTTGTCTGCTGGTATCGTCATCGCTGCTGATATTCTCGGGCAATGAGGTCGATTGGTTTCACGTCACCTTAGGCCCGGTTCATACGTCGCACTTCTGCCGTGTCGAATTCAATTCAATTAAGTGCGACAGAAATGCGACAGCTGATTCATACGTCGAATTTCTACCGAATTTAATTCTTTGAATTGATACTGCGGTGCAGGTCCGTCAGCGGAAAAATGTTACATTGGTTACGTAACTAGACGTAACTATCTAATATGGCGGACGAAGATACTAAACGGAGGCTCTTTATTTTTCAAAAAGTTTTTGAAGGAAGGCGAAGGAGGAGGCTGACAATGCAACAGTATATGCTGCATCGTCTTCAGGAAAAGCGTAGACTAATAATTCAACTTTTGCTGTTGATTGTTCTCATTTTGTCTCATCAAAATGCAACACAAGTTTATCGATCCTGTCGGCGACGTGACAATCTCGCCATTGCGCTTTTCTGCCTCGTCTCTTTTTATTCGGCGGGGCCAAATTTTCATTGTCAGACAAAGAAAAAGAGCTTTCTTCTTCTGAATCTGAAGTCTCTTCCCTTCGTGACGCCATCTTTTTATAGCTAGCCTCAGTCTACGCATGCTCAATACATTAACATAATGTATGAATTAAATTCGACACGGCAGAAATTCGACGTTTGAATCGGTGTCGCATTTCTGTCGGATAATGCGACAAGACTAGTCGAACGTGCGGCAGAAATGCGGCAGCCGATTCAGACGTCGAATTTCTGCCGAATTTAATTCGTTGAATTGAATTCGACACGGCAGAAATGCGACGTATGAACCGGGCCTTATGATCGAAGCATTCTACACTAATGTTTTCTCTTTGTTGTTATTATTGTGGTTTCCTTTGTTATTGTTCGCACTAGATTTTTTTGGTTTTAACACAGTGAATAACCACAACATTTTTGCGAATTATCACAGTTTACAAAAACAACATATAGACGTTGAAGTCCCATACGAAATACCCCTGAGACAGTTGAACAGTGGAAATGTCACAAAACTATGGTTGATGTTGACATTAATTTACGCGTCATTAAGTTTTTGTGAAAAGGACCTTCACAAACGAAATATTTTTGCATATGAATGATCTTGTTTAATGAAAATCAGGAGAGTGATGCATTCATTTGAGACACGGAGAAAACTATGTCGAAGTAAATGGTGACGAATCTCGAGAATCTTTGAGACCAGTCTTAAATTGACAAGACACCCAATAAAAAGTAATATTTCATTTGCAACGCGCTTCTGTTGTTTTTTATCGTGTTTGCGCGTTCAAGCGATGAAAAGCCCAGTACATCAAACAACATTCCTAAACATCCTATGGTTTAGGCAAGAAGCCACGCACCTTATTTTTTTTTCTCATTTTTTTCCAGGTACTTGCTGCTATGGCTTGATTTGCTTTTGACCCGTGAGTTTCTCTACATTTAAATGTGGAAGAGATGTTCAAACTTAAAAGTATGATATTACTATAATAAACAGTATTAGAGAGGTGCAAGATTGCGGACTAGTCAGACAAATACAAAGCAAATGTGACAAAACAGAAACCCGACAGTCGGGCTGGTCCTTGGTTAAATTCCCGCTAGTTAAAAAATGTTCACAGACTTTAAATTGTAGGTTCTATCACACTTCTTGATAGTAGCAGATATTTGTTTAGAAAAGCCAACCGGTTTCGAAATTATGTCGGTTAATTTTTAAAATCGCTGAGCATTTCTAAGCAATCACTGATCTGAACTCTCTCGTTGGGTTTGCGTGAGGTTTTGTATGAGCATTTACTGAATATTCCTGTCTGTTTTGTATTTTAAGCCTACTCGAGATCGTGCCCGATCATCTGATCTAAATACGCCGATAACCAAGCGATCTCTGAGTAAACACAAGCTTGGGAAATTCGTTCCAAAGTGGATTAATTCAATTGGTCTTTAGTTTCTCAACATTTCGAGACAAGCACCAATCACTCGAATATTCTGCAGTAATATTCACTCAATTAATATATCTCTCCGGGCAGAAGCAAGAACATTGCGATTTTATGTTGCAATCAAGTTCGGATATTTCGTGAATCGCTTGACATTTCGAAAGGAACGATTGAGACTCCCAAGAGGTTTGAAAGAACCTTTTAGTAGAAAAATGCATGTAATCGGATTAGAGGAAGCCTAACTACCAAACATTTAGCCAAAGTTAATAATTGTCAAATGAATTACCCACAATCTTGATACACAACTTTTCGTTACAATGTTTTGTCTGTTGCACGTTAGAATACTAGAGAGCTAATTATCAATGGAAAGGAAAGCGTTGGCAGGAAACAAAATTTTAGTTTCGACTTACAGCTTACAGCTTCGTTAGCCAATGCATAGATGACTTCGATAAACGCCACAAGAAGTATACTGTAAAAGCGTGAGACTCGAATGAATAAAATTACTGAGAATCATTTAAGTCACGACCGGCTTAGTTTATCGTTAACATTAGCCCTGTCTTCGTTTAGTTTTAAGGTGATATACAGTTATGAAAACACCTTGGGTAAAATTGCTGCACAGCCCCCTACAACATTATGCATTCAGTTCTTGACTAGAGAAAACAATGACAAAAACAACACATTTCCATCGGGAAAACAGATTTTTTTTACAATAGTATAGGCTCTGCGGAAACTTTACCACACCTAGGAATAAGCGAAATTAGATTAATTGTTGCGTTAGAAAGACCGAAAAAATCATTTGGTTGACAATATCGCTTACTAAAAATTAACGCAAGATCAGTATGTTATCTGACGGAATCATGGCGCGCAAAGGATCTTTTTAAGAGCCCGCTGCCATCGTGACACTGTAATTTAACACAGATTTTCCCATACGCAAAGCTCTCGGTTTCAAAGTTTGTTTACTCACCGATTCCAATAGGAAATTCGCCGACAATTTCATTTACTTCTGTTCGTCCCATTCGCCCATGAAGAAAAACACATATAGAAAAGGTACTTATCGTTAATATCACCAGCACTTTTATGGAACATTTCGAATAAAATAGTCGCTGGATTCCTCTCCTCGTGGACACCATCATTAACTTGCGAAAAGCGGCCGCAATAGATCGTCGCCTGCTTACTTGTTTGTTGTGTTCAAAATCCGCTGACCGAAAAAAATTATAAAAATATACAGCTGGACTAGACAGTGGATTATGGACTCTGGATTTTCGCTCTTGCAAGGCAGTTAAGAATAAATGTTTGGTTGGTCTTCGACGAGGAGTCGATACAATTCAATAGAGAACCGAGCCACTGAAGCGAATTTTAAAAAGCTGACCACTATAAGCGTAAGCCTCTCATCAGAGTAAATCGTTTCCTGTTTTTCCCACGACGCAGAAATTTTTGTTTCTTTAAACACTATAAATTCATCTGTTAACGGATCGTTCCCACACCGGAAACTATTTGTTGCTTTGTTTTTTACTTCCCAGGAGCTTAAATATTTTTAAATGAAGCTAAAAAGCGAGATTGGGGAAGTTTTCAATGGTTCTTTCGAAGTTGCTCTACACATAAGAGTTCTAAGGAACACGAGCTGGTCAAGGATTGCGCTCATAACCGAGAATTTCGCGTTCTTCAAGGAACAGTGAATCATTAACAGTTAACAAAAACATGAACAATGTTTCATGAGCAGAATGAAAAAAAATATGTATTTGTGGGGTATGGTATGGAGACCATGATATTCCAAAGTGCAGTAATCTAATTAACATGCAGTTTTCGGTTACTCTGCGAAAGGAATGACTTGGGAGTTGCTAAGAAAAGAATCGAGTCCACAATTTAACTCTTCCACGAAAAAGGCGGTCACACAAGCTAATAGTTTAGAGTCCAGTCCAATATTTATGTTTTTGCAAAACATACGCAGGCACTGAAATGAAGCTAAAAAGCGAGATTGGGGAAGTTTTAAATGGTTCTTTCGAAGTTGCTCTACACATAAGAGTTCTAAGGAACACGAGCTGGTCAAGGATTGTGCTCATAACCGAGAATTTCGCGTTCTTCAAGGAACAGTGAATCATTAACAGTTAACAAAAAGTTGGGAGTTGCTAAGAAAAGAATCGAGTCCACAATTTAACTCTTCCACGAAAAAGGCGGTCACACAAGCTAATAGTTTAGAGTCCAGTCCAATATTTATGTTTTTGCAAAACATACGCAGGCACAGTTAGGTGTTTTTATCTGATATGATACAGGCCCTTTCTGTTTGTTTTTGGGCTGTGAACGTACCATAGCAATTGTCTTCAACAGCGTCCATTTGCTTAAAATCCTGTGAATTTCCGTCGTCGTGTTCTTGATTGTTTCTAGATATTTTAATTTTAAGCTCTTGAAACCGACAAAATGATATGAACTGAGAATAATAGAAGACTAGAAGATTTTGGTTGTTACAAAAAAAAATTCAACTTGCCCCCCCCCCTCCCCTCTGAAGCTCTGAAGCTCTACAGCACTCTAATGATATAATTAAATAGACCCCTTTACACTCCGGTTGGCGACCACCTTCACATAAACATACACACCCACACTGGATACAGATACGTTGCACCAAGGAGTTTGCAGCTTTAAAATTCAAAATTATTCAAATAATTTCGGTATGTTCATAATATTTATTTATTTTTAGTTTGTCACCTGTATATACAGTGGTCATAGTTTATCTTTTATTAATGACTTCACTTGGGAAACACCAAATGCAAAATAATAAATTTTGAAGGGATAATTATGATCGATACATCTATAAAAAAATATTTTTGCTTCAACTTTTTACTTTAAAACCTGTTATCACAAAAGTATCAATATATATAATTTTAAACAACATATTAGAATTTCTACCTCAGATTTTATGATTTCCGTAAAGCTAAAGTACAAATAAACAAATGATGCCCAATGATTATTCATATCGGATCAAAGTATTAAAGCAGGTACTTCAGTCAAATTTATCCCATTGTTGCACGAAAACAGTTTTTTAGGGGAAGGCAAGGGTCCACTATGGATCCTGCATTATCTAAAGCAGAGTTGGGAGAAACAAAATATCCAAAGCGAGGCAAGTCATATGATGTTAACCACACTTCTGACGGTCAGACTGCTCAAGTCTCGAGTCAGAAAGCAGAGATAGAGAAAACATGGAATAAATTTGTCGAGTCGTCCACTCTTCATGGTTTGCTTCACGTCTTCTCCAGCTCAACTAGAACGCGTCGCTTTCTATGGGCTGTGCTTCTCTTGCTAGCAATGATGTGGTTTTCATTTCAGTCCTTCAAGTTGCTTGAGAAGTATTACAGCTACCAGGTCACGACAAAAGTCAGTTTGAAATACGACCCTATGCCGACTTTTCCAGCGGTGACTATCTGCAACTTCAACGTGTTCAAAAGGTTTGTGGTTAGAACGTCAGCGTATAAAGAAATTTTGCCCCTACTTCATGCATCCTTTGTTGAAAAAATGGGCTTGCCCGATGTCAATGATAGCATTGACTTAAACAAATATCATGACTTAAACCTCACACAGTTTTACATCGATGCGGGACATCAAAGCGATGATACTGTTAATCATTGCATTTGGAACGGAAAACCGACCTGCGATCACAGGAATTTCACGTCCGTGTTGACATCGATGGGACTTTGCCACACTTTCAACTCAGGTAAATTTAAAAAAAATATATTTTCTCTTTGTGTGAAAAGCGACAGGGCGTGCATTTGGTCATAAGCAAGTGCAATTTACAAGGGTTAATGATAGCCGAGGATAGATAGCATAGAGGATATTACATGACCGCATGGGGATAGAATTTTATCTTCGAGTGCTGAAAGTATCTCTCACGAGTGAGCGAAGCCGTGGAAAAGTACTTTCAAAAGTACTTCAACACTGGAAGATAAAATTCGTATCCCCAAGCGGCCATGTAATGTTCTGTTTATTTTATTTATACTGATGAAATTTCAAATATCCTCACACGTGAAAGATAAAAATAGTATCTAGTATCTAGTATCTTCACTGCGCACGATGAAGATATGATTTTTTAGTAAAAGGAAAAATTCTGGTATTTCATCGGTATCTATATAATAATATTAAATCCTAATATAATCTCCGCCGAATGCTGTTAATTCGCAAAATCAGTTGAAGCGTGTTTCCTTTCTGAGTTGTCTGCTTTTATTTTACTTCATATGGTGAGAAAACTCTTTAAGGTACGTTGACACAAATATTAGGCAGGTCATTTAAAAAATGTGTTATTCATGAAAATCGTGTCTAAACAATTGACACTAAAACAATTGTGTAGTTTTTTAATCATCTTTTTTTTCAAGCTTGCACAGAAAAAAAAAATTTTGAAATAACCACGTTTAACTGTCTTTTATAAATATTGCTGTCATGACGAGCTTTGCTCACCAAAAGAATTTATGCAAATGAGGCTGAGGCGGATCTGAGATCCGCCTGGCAATTATTAATTGTAAGAGAAGAACTGACTTCGCGCCCACAGAAAGACCGAGGTGTTGCGGATGAATTTTCAGTAATTACTTTTTTGGCACTTTTCAGCGTCCAAATTGCATGGCGAGAGTAACCCAAAACCTTAAAGCAGACCCTTCTTGTCACAATACGAATGTTTTCCAGATAGGGACACGCGTTAATGTCAGCTCCACTCGCGTGATTGCATTTTTCAAGGTTAAACCCTCGCGTGGATCTAACAACTCAAGTTTACTTTAAAGCGCACAATGTAAGCCAAAGTAATTTTATAATTTAACTCCATGATCGAAATTTTGTTTACAAAGGATAATAATGGATCGACATCGACCTAGAGCGTCAGCTTCACTCGCGGGGAGTCAACCATTTTCTCTTGCCCCTTGCGCAACATAGAATGCAAATTTGCTGACCCACTCTATTGATACACACAACTCGACAGTCGTTAAGAGTTGAAAAAGATGAAGTTTTTTACCAAAACCATGTATTCCCGATTTTTAAACGCTAACAAAAATGTAGTAATGGTATGTCCACTCCGGAAAATAATACCGCAAACAACAGCAAGCCCTAACCGCGATGAGAACACTCATGGATCACACAGCGCAACAGAACTCATTTTGTTTGTTTGTTTGGGTTTTTTCCGATAATATTGGCCTGTAAAGAAATATATAATGGAGTTTTTTTGTACCCTCCACCGGCACCATATAATTGGCTAAATGCTAAGGAAGTAGTATACTTTAAAGAGATTATTAAAGGAGTAAAATCTTTAAAAAAATTTTTCCTTCTGGGGTTTCCTGGCGCGCCACTGCGAACACAGCGAACCTCATGTATAAGGCTGCGAGAAAATAAACAAAGACAAGTAGAAAAGTTCTTTACTCACAAATCTCTTTTACAATCTATGACCGATTTTACATCTCGTGTCTGAAGCAAGAGTTGGAAATGTAAATGCAATTTAATACGTTACGAGAAGAGGTATTTTACTCGTTGGTAATTTTATTCCTAAATTCGTTATTTATTTTTAATTGAAAAATCACGGGATTTGAGGACAGACACCACCAAGGCAAACACAACATCGACGTAAAAATTACCAGTCAACGGAACGTGCACTTATGATGTGTAATTAAGTTAAGGTTGGTTGGTCATCTAAACAGGAAAACTATCTTTTTCTATTAAAACAAACATTGCTTTTTCATCACGGCTTTTCGCGGTTAACGTTCAATTAAATCTGCAAAGGAAAAAAAATCAAGACAAGTAAATTTAATTATGTCGCAATTCAAAATTAGTTTCTCATAAGATGAAAACGCACAGTCTAAAATGAAACAACTCCAAAGAGAGACAGAACCAAATAGAAAAAAGGAAAGATTTTGCCTTCAGATAACAAAAGTCCAAATAGGACTGACTACCCAAGAGAGACAGAACCAGGTGAAAAAAAAGGGAAAGGTTCTGCCTTCAGATAACAACAGCCCAAAAAGGACTGACTACCCAAGAGGGACACAACCAGGAGAAAAAAAAAGGAAAGGTTCTGCCTTCAGATAACAACAGCCCAAACAGGACTGACTACTCAAGAGGGACAGAACCAGGTGAAAAAAAGGGAAAGGTTCTGCCTTCAGATAACAACAGCCCAAATAGGACTGACTACCCAAGAGAGACAGAACCAGCTGAATAAAAAGGGAAAGGTTCTGCCTTCAGATAACAACAGCCCAAAAAGGACTGACTACCCAAGAGGGACACAACCAGGTGAAAAAAAAAAGGAAAGGTTCTGCCTTCAGATAACAACAGCCCAAACAGGACTGACTACCCAAGAGAGACAGAACCAGGTGAAAAAAAGGGAAAGGTTCTGCATTCAGATAACAACAGCCCAAATAGGACTGACTACCCAAGAGAGACAGAACCAGGTGAAAAAAGGGAAAGGTTCTGCCTTCAGATAACAACAGCCCAAATAGGACTGACTACCCAAGAGAGACAGAACCAGGTGAAAAAAAGGGAAAGGTTCTGCCTTCAGATAACAACAGCCCAAATAGGACTGACTACCCAAGAGAGACAGAACCAGGTGAAAAAAAGGGAAAGGTTCTGCCTTCAGATAACAACAGCTCACATACGAATGACAAAACCGGGAAAAAAATTAAAAAAATGAAGGTTCTTCCCTCACGGAGATAAGTCTGATTACACGAGAGAGTGGGTAAGAAATAAAAAAAGAACGAGAGTATCTTCAGGATTTTGCTTTCGAAACTGCGAAATAGTACAGTACGATTAGTAAGAAAACACACTAACCTGCTAAGAGCGCGTCATCTTATAGGGAAGGAATATTTGAGCTGTGATGTCAGGGTTCATTCCATACTTAGTTCATCTTGCTCATGTTAGGTTTCAACAGTTTGATAATACACCATGTGATTTTAAGCATCTGTCACCGAACTATCACAGAAATAATTCCTTCTCTTGCTTCGAAAGCACAGAAGTAAAGGTAAACCTTGCTTTGCTGATTAAATGGTTTGGGCATCATCATTGCTCGCGAAGTTTTATACAGTTAAGACATTACCTTAAGGAAAGAACGATGGCCCCTTTTCGCAGATACCGCCGAATATACTCGTACCTTCGCATAGAATTTTCGCGGGATAAGTTCCCGCGCTTACCTGATGATTGGGACTTACTAATATGATATTTTATACTGAAAGAGCTCCTCAGTATAGACGCCAGAAAAGTATTATCAAAATATCTACCCAATCGTTTCAAGTGTTAAATGATACTCTTGTATCTCCAGAACAAACTGCAGTCGAAATCTCTCTTGAAAACAAGGTCCTTACCGAGCGGCTCACCGGCTTCAATGTTGACTTAGGGTCAAAGGTCTGATCAGAGTGAAATATAAGTTGGCTAACACAATTTAATTTTGGTAATGTCGTGACAGAACAGATAATCGCTCTTTGCGTCACAAACCAATAAATCTGTAGATCACGAACAAAACATGCTGGGTACAATAACTGTTACTTGATAGTCATGTCACGCACTACAACCAGGCTATCCTCAAATGCCATGACACATTACGGCTTAGCTAAGCCGTTCTTGTCGCTGAATCATTCTACAATTATGAAAATTGCCATTCACGCCATGAATGCGTAGTTATCTCTTAAGAGAAAATTGTGCAAAAGAGTCCTAAATTTACGTAACACTCCTAACGCGCAAGCCGCGCGGATCCTCGCGCCTGTTTACATTTTAATTGTTAACTTCAATTAATTTCACGCTCGCTTTCACTTGCTAATTGAGCCCTTTCGCTTTACTTTGACAAGCCTATGGATCATTTTACGCATCCCTGGTGAGAATTCTTTTCTTGAGCAAAGCTCGTCATGTCACAGTGTTTGCTCTAGTGTTTAATTAATTAAAACACAGTCAGTAACGAGTTTCAATTTACATTTTTAATAAAGTTCGGATGTAACGCTCGCTCCCATTGGTTGAAAGAGCGTTTTTCATCAGAGAACACGCCATCTAACAATTTGTACAATGTCTGACCATCTACCGGCCGGACTTCTCTCTGGCTGTTTTTTTTTTTTTTCCCAAAAAATTGACCCACAAGTCTTGCATGACCTATAACACGAACATGATAAGGAGCACTTAGCTTCAATTGATACAGAACAACCTAAAGGAACCCAAAGACGTAGCGCCCTTTGCAACAGAACAGAGAACAATCAAGGCGAGATTGGACTAGTCTCAGGGAGCAAAACTGGCGCGAGAAGCTTTCCAAAAATGGAATGCTCTCTTTGATTGGCCCATTCCTGAAAAGAAGCGTTGTTCGAGTGAAAGCTGCTGATCCAGGCTTGGAACAATGTTGTATGACATCCCTGAACGGTGGCGAAGGAGACTAGATTGACACGGGCAAATATGTGGCGACCCATTCTCTTTCTGCATCATTTATCATCATTCATTTACAGGCGAAAATGCGGCAAAAAATTTATCTTCCTTTCGGGGACTTAACATAACCGTACATGACGGAGCGTTCCGTGAGGATTTTAGTTCTTTTTTTGTGTATTGTTTTGCAACTTTTTTTGTTATTTTGTTATATTTTTGCCAGGAAGAGATGGTCAACGTCTACTGCGAGTAAAGCAGGCAGGTTCCAATCGTGGATTACACTTGATATTGAACGTTAGACAAGAGGAATATTACGGGACGACATCATATGTTGCCGGCCTCAAAGTTCTCATTCATGATCAGCAGACTCTGCCACTGGTCTCTCAGCTTGGCTTTGCTGTGAGTCCTGGTACGAGTACATTTGCGGCGTTAAAAAAACTACGGGTAATAGATTACATTGTCTAATACTGTCGGATTATTTTATGTGAACTTAGTTTTGTCAGCTCATGGGCTTAACAAGTGGAAGGCTTTAACCCTTAAATTTCCTCCGATTCTTACAACATCCATACATTTTCGAGCAGAAAATGTATGGATGTAAGAATGTCGTCCTGATCGACAAGTTGCATCTCAAAAAAAATTCGAGACGATTGGAAGACATCCTCCAAAACATTTTTTAGGTTTCTCTTTAATTGAAATGTTACGTCAGTATCTCGCCCATTGTTAAGATTCTCTTTTATTGGATTGTTCATCAGTATCTTGAGAACTTTTACGATTCTCCTTCATTCGATTGTTACGTTAGTTTCTTGTGTAGTTTTAGGATTCTTTTTAATTCCATTGTTACCCTAATATCTCGCGCACTTTTAGAATTATCATTCAATGGATTGTTACGTTAGTATCTCGTGCACTTCTAGGATTTTCTTCCAATGGACTGCTACGTTAGTATCTGACGCACTTTGGGATTCTTTTATATTAGATTGTTACGTTAGTATCTGGCGCACTTTTAGGATTCTCTTTCGATGGATTGTTACGTTAGCATCTCGCGCACCTTAAGGATTCTTTTTCATTGGATTATTACGTTAGTATCTCACGCACTTTTAGGCTTATTTTTCATTGGATTATTGCGTTAGTCCTTGCACACTTTTAGGATTCTTTCTCATTATCTCGTGCATTGATTGGAATGTTACGTTAGTCTCTTGTGCCCTTTAGGATATATTTTTCAATAGATATAGCTTCGTTAGTACCTCGCGCACTCTTGGGATTCTCTCTCATCGGAGATAGGTTAGTTTTATGGACAAAGTATAAGGCGCATGGTGAAGTTAACCACAGAAATTCGGAATTCTTTCGAAACTCAATTGAAAATTGCTCTGAAATTAAAGTTTTGTTTAACCACAGACACTCAATCTTCCAAAACCTTATGAGGGAAACTGCCATGACAAAGAGATTACTAGCATACCTGGCTATAACAAGTACACGATTCCTTCTTGCCAAGAGATTTGTGTGACCAACTTTGTAATAAACAAGTGTGGATGCAGGGACGCTTTGATGCCGGGTAAGTCATTTAAGTTTAACCATTTGTTAGCTTGCAAGGCGCTCATCAGATCAGCAGCGAAGAACGCGCGCTTTTCTGTCCACCGGAGATCTGGCACTAGTAATGGTATAACGGTATTAGTATATACTTAAACGGTGGATAGCGTCATAGGCGGGCTCTGATTGACTTCTCAAACTCCGAATATCCTTTGTTATTCACTTGAAGCACAGAGTTTGCACCCGAAAATATTATTGTCGTTGCAGGAAAAAATGAGCTACTTTTTTTTTTTTGTGCCGTATTATCTCACTGTTTTGGTCTAAAACAACGAATCACCTCAGAGTCAGTGGCTGGCGGTGGATATCAACCTCGCTGCTTCACCACTCCCACTTCGATGACTAGTTGCTAATGCTCAGGAGCCGATGGGGCTTCTGATATGATGTACTTCGTTACGAATTTTAAATCTTGATTCCCAAGCAAAACTCAACTTTGCTCAACTTTCTCTAACTCTTTTTCTTGTTCAAACTGTTAGGTCTTTTAGATGACAGGTATTCATGAGTAACTCATGACAGTAAAATAAAGAAATGCATTTGTACCAGTGCGTTCTTATCAACATTTTAGCTTGTCATTTTTGCATAACCATTAGTTATAAATGTAAATTGAGCGTCGGTGAATAACTTCACACACTTTTGCACATAAATGATATCATACCAAAGTTTACAGGTACATAGTCTGAAGTGTCAGCTGTCATTTCGACCCATTCCCCAAGGGCACCCGTGCGAGAGATGGGGCTTCACCCGGGGGTTTGGGCGAGGAGACCACTTACCTATCAGATTAATAAATGCGTGCGCGGAAAACATGGGGGTTCACTTTTTATGAAAAAGCGATAAGAAAATCAGTGCTCTTGTTAATTTTCTCTTCTCTCGACTTTTTCATAGACATAAACAACACCAGAGTGTGTGGATTGAGTGAAATCAAGAACTGCCTGGTGAAAGAGATGAGTATGTAGACATTTATATTACTTGTTTTATAATACTTATGATAAAGTCTGTTAAATCGCTTGTATTTAGTCCAAAGGTCAAAAAACTTTCAGAGTCTTCGACTGAGTTGGGGAGAGGAGCTGGGGAACGAGTAATCTCGTACTGAGATCCTGCCGTGTAACTGCACCTGAAATGAACACTCTCAACCGCTTGGCCGTGGAAGGTCTGGGTAAGACACTAGGAGACAAGGGTATACCAAGTGTTTCATCAAGATTCATTTACTTTCCAATTCCGACTCCCTGTCATTCCAAATAGATGAGGTAGGCCAAGACGTAACCAGGAGACCCCCTTAGCCTTTCACTGCATACCCTCGAAAGCATTTACAGGAGGATTCCTCCCTTCCACAAGCCCTTTCACAATGTCATGAAAATGGCGTTTTGAACTCGCTCGTACTTGGGAGGTCAAAAAACACTTAAGTTAAAATGTTGCATTGCTCCTTTCAGGCAACTTTTACAGTAGAATAGATGACCAGTGTGAGTGCCCAGTACCTTGTGAATCCATCTCTTTCAATCCCATATTGTCATACGCTGCCTTTCCGAGTAAAAATTTCATCAAAAGGATCGTCAAAGAACATGATGGATCCAATGTTACACCAGATTCATAAAAAGAGGACAAGAAATAATGAGGTATTCGTATTGTAGTTTCGAAAGGTGAAGATTGTGTTGAGCCATGGAGCGACAAAAATTTAAAGTGGCTGAGCAAAAGTCAAACAAAAGTTAGCGAGCGTTGACCCTGAATTTGTTCTATTTTATTCCATTGCTTTTTATTCTGTGAGGTCATTTTGTTATTTGCTATCACACAAAGTTCAGAATATGATCTCTCTCAATTACTTGTGATGAGGCAGTTTCGTTGATAAGTCTCTTGAGGTTGTGTACCTACGGCCACACATGAATTTTGTCTTGTTACTAAAGCAAAGGATTCTCGACCAATCTATGGTGGAAATAGATTAACAAAACAATGAACAGCTAATGAAATCAGAAAATACTGACATTTCACTTGGGAAATAATACCTGAAAAAATCTGACCTGTAGTTGGCTACTTACCACATAAGTATTTATTTCATATTTAATACTTCAACAGCCAGAATCAGCTGGAACTGCGCGTGTATTTTCAAGAACTCAATTACCAAGTCATCGAGGAAATACCTGCTTATAACTATGAAAGTCTTTTAGGTACGTGTCGGCGTAAGATCCACAAATTGGACTTAAGATCTCTTGAAGTGCATGGTCCAGTCGTCTGGGAAAAAAATATTTGGTGATAACAGAGCAATCAAATTTTTCGTTGATCAAAGCTCTGGGATGGCTTAATTTTTAAATATGTTACAAGAATATGTTAGATATATGTTATATATTAGAATATATATATCACTTCTAATTGTCACTTTTAAAAACGATCCTCTTTTCGGTCGGGTGCTTAGTTGCCAGGCCTCTGAGAAAGGTCTAGGCCGAAAGTGACGTCACTTTGGTTATAATCCCGGTGTTTTTCAACTGTAAATTACTTCTATATCGTGCCAACAATTTTCTCCTTTCTATCGATCATGAAGGTACCCATAGTCTCTCTCTCTTTAAAACCTTGACAGCTATGCCTATAACTGTGAGAATGAACATTTCTTAAAAGATCCTAGTTTATCACATAATTGTTGTTGGAGGTCAAAAAGACTAAGATCTTCTTACCTTCTTTTCACCACAGGTGAAATCGGCGGTCAAGTTGGTCTCTGTGTTGGTGCCAGTCTCTTGACCGTGCTTGAATTCTTTGACCTCATAATTGCTATCGTCGGGATACGGCTAGGATTTAGATAAAATCACGCACTGAACGATATAATAGCGTACAGCAGGAGCCCATTGCTGCTTACAATGAGGCCTTAAACTACGGTAGAAAATTGAAACAAATCTTCAAGCTTTCACCGATCCATGCATCACCAGATGATCAGACCTTTGAAGCCAAAGAGATTTATTTGCAAAGTTTAGGTCTTTGATTTAACCTCTAGACACGCAACCGGCCCCCAGAATCGCAAACTTAGCTAGGCGTTTTAGCAAGCTTTTGTAGCTGCGAATAACCCCCGTGAATTACAAGCTCAGCTGGTTGGTTAGCAAGTTAGTGCATTTTAAACATAGCGAGAGTCTTCTCTGTAATCATTAATGTTTAAGCAAAGCATAACTTCTTTAGTTTAGAAAGCAATTGGTGTCATAATCGCTAATGGTCATACGCAGTAGAAAGTAAAAACGACTGCGGTAAAGCCTTTTTAAAATACTCGATGTCATCCCTGGCAATGCCGCCCCAACTCACCTCCCCAAACCAAGTAACCAAAATCATTCCTCAATATATTACTCTATAAATACCTGTAAATTCAAGTCACCAAGTCTGTAAAAGTTGTTGAATTCAATAAATAATCTGTCTGTCTCAAATTTTCAGTAAACAAATGTTTGTGGTATTGCGATTAGTGATCAACGACTCTTCTACTGGCGATCTCAGCCTGGGACTTACGTGACTGGGGAAAGACTTGGGGGCGCCTTGGAAATTGGACGACGTGACTTCTATTCTGCAAAGGATAATTATATTACGTCCTTGAATCCAGTCATGCGTCAACATTAAGTTGCTTGGTTAGTTACGCAAAGGAATTGACAACTAGAGCATCCACTGTGATATCCGAAACATCCATGTTTTACCGCAGCTAGATAGAAGCGACGATTTTCTTTCGTATGAGGGAATACAAAGGTGATCAAAACCGTGAAAAAAAAAGAAAGGTTAAAAGGAAAAATATATAGACTAAAAGAATTTGAACCTGCGACTCTTTCATAATAGCGATTTAGTAGGTTAACCAACCGAGTTGTCATAATAGCGATTTAGTAGGTTAACCAACCGAGTTGTCAAGGCAACTGGAAGCTGGTCAAAATGTAATATTCATCTTCATTATCTCATCATTCTCACATCCCTTCCACACCAGAGCTTAAACATGCTTTAAAGCTGTCTTGTTAAGCGAGGTTTGTCGACTCCATTTAAGCACATTGAAAAGACGAGTTGGTGAATTCTTGAAACCTATGGAATAGAATAAATCAGTTTTCCAGTTAGCTGTTTCTGATTTTCATTCAGTCAAACCCGGTTTAACTAAACGTGTTTTTCTTGTAATATATCAACCAGTTAATATTCTTGGACTATTTCTAGTCTTCGAAAGAACAGCCTGCCGTTCATATGAGTTAACTGATTACTAATTCAGTGTGGAAGATGAAAAGTTATTAATTATTAAGCGGATTATCATAATTGAAATACATCTCACCGCAAGATAATTGAAATATTTCACGGCAAGCTCCACTCACCGTAGAAACTCAACATCTGCTTTTCGTGTCAAACTAAATTTGACTGAAGTACTTACTTAAGCAGGTTGACAGATACTTCATTTGGCTAAAGTACTTGCTTTAGCAGGTACTTTTGGGGACAGGTCTTTCAGCTGACTGAAGTTCCTGCTTTAGCTCAAGCTTTGAGAGTTTTTTTCTCTTAAGTTATCTTATCAAGTGTAATTCTAATCTGTGCAATGTGTCCTTTTTACTTTTCATTTCATCAATCTTACTTTTGTCTTGGCCGACCTTAACTTCAAAAGTGTGAAATTTTAGGTAGAACGCCATTTTGGAGAGAAACTTCAAACCGAAGGTACACACTCAGTATGCGGGAACTGTTTCACGGATTTCAACATGATTCGCTTGCTGAGTGAGAAATAGTGACGTTGGTCAAATATTGACACTTGCCAACTGTCACCTTTTTAAATTAGAGATTAGCACTTTCCTAGAGAGTAGAGTTGGACCCAAGCTAGCACGTTATATTGAGTTTTCAAGAAACGAAACAAAAAAGTATCAACTGGACAGGAAGTGTCAGAAAAATCTTTTAGCAAGGGCGGGAAAGAATCCACTATGCATCCTGGATTTTCTAAAGCAGAATTAGGAGAAACCAAATATCCAAAGCGAGGCAAGTCATATGATCTTAACCACACTTCTGACGGTCAGACTGCTCAAGTCTCGAGTCAGAAAGCAGAGATCGAGAAAACATGGAATAAATTTGTCGAGTCGTCCACTCTTCACGGTTTGCTTCACGTCTTCTCCAGCTCAACTAGAACGCGTCGCTTTCTATGGGCTGTGCTTCTTTTGCTGGCAATGATGTGGTTTTCATTTCAGTCCTTCAAGTTGATTGAGAAGTACTACAGCTACCAGGTCACGACAAAAGTCAGTTTGAAATACGACCCCATGCCGACTTTTCCAGCGGTGACTATCTGCAACTTCAACGTGTTCAAAAGGTCTGTGGTTAGAACGTCAGCGTATGAAGAAATTTTGCCCCAACTTCATGCATCTGTTGATAAAAAAATGGGCTTGTTCGATGTCAATGATAGCATTGACTTAAACAAATATCATGACTTAAACCTCACACAGTTTTACATCGATGCAGGACACCAAAGCAATGATACTGTTAGACATTGCATTTGGAACGGAAAACCGACCTGCGATCACAGGAATTTCACGTCCGTTCTGATATCAATGGGACTTTGCCACACTTTCAACTCAGGTAAATTCTAAGAAAATTAAAAATCAATAAACACAGTCAGCAACGAGTTTAATTTGCATTTTGAATAAAGTTCGGATGTAACGAGCGCTTCCATTGGTTGAAAGAGCGTGTTTTATCAGAGAACAAACACAGAACTAAAGCTATCACGCCATCTGTCAATATGTACAATATTCGACCATCCCCTGGCTTTTTTTTTTTTAAATTGACCCACAAGTCTGGCATAACCTATAGCACGACAATGAAAACGAGCTCTTAGCTTCAACCGGATACAGAACAACGAAAAGGAACCCGAACTGAAAGAAGTAGCGCGCTTTGCAACAGAACAGAGCGCAATCAAGGCGTGATTGGACTAGTCTCAAGGAGCAAAACTGGCGCGAGAAGCTTTCCAAAAATGGAAGGCTGTCTGTGATTGGCCCTTCCTAGGAGAGAAGCATTGTTCGAGTGGAAGCAGCTGATCCAGGCTTAATAGAATGTATGACATCCCTGAACGGCAGCGAAGGAGACTAGATTGATACGGGCAAATATGTGGCGACCAATTCTCTTTCTGTATCATTTATCTTCCTTTCGGGAACTTACCGTACATGACGGAGCGTTCTGTAAGACTTTTTGTTCTTTCTCTGTGTATTGTTTTGCAACTTTTTTGGTTATTTTTTTGTATTTTTCCAGGAAGAAATGGTCAACCTATACTGCGAGTGAAGCAGGGAGGTTCCAATCGCGGATTACACTTGATATTGAACGTTGGACAAGAGGAATATTACGGGACGGCATCATATGCTGCCGGCCTCAAAGTTCTTGTTCATGATCAGCAGACTCTGCCACTGGTCTCTCAGCTTGGCTTTGCTGTGAGTCCTGGTACGAGTACATTTGCAGCGTTAAAAAAACTACGGGTAATAGATTACATTGTCTAATACTGTCGGATTTTTTTTTTTAACTTAGTTTTGTCAGCTTATGGGCTTAACGAGTGGAACTGCTTTAACCTTTAAGTTTCCTCTCACGACATCCATACATTTTCGAGCAGACAGGTGATGAAAAGTTAGGATGTCTTGAGAACTTTTGTTCCCCTTCATTCAATTGTTACGTTAGTTTCTCGCGTAGTTTTAGCATTCTTTTTCATTCGATTGTTACGTTAGCATCTCTTGAATTTTTAGAGTTCTCATTCACTGGATTGTTACGTCAGTATCTCGTGCACTTTTGGGATTCTCTTTCATTGTGATGTTACATTAGTATCTCGCGCACTTTTAGGATTATCTTCCAATGGACAGTTACGTTTGTATCTGGTGCACTTCAAGGATTTTTTTTTATTAGATTGTTACGTCGGTATCTCGCGCACTTTTAGAATTGATATTCAGTGGATTGTTACTTCATTATCTCGTGCGCTTTTACGATCTTCTTTCAATGGACTGCTATCTTAGTATCTGGCGCACTTTAAGGATTCTCTTTCGTTGGATTGTTACGTTTTGTATCTCACGCACTTTAAGCATTCTTTTTCATTGGATTGTAACGTTAGCATCTCACGCACTTTTAGGATTTTTTTCATTGAATTGTTGCATTAGTCTCTTGCACACTTTTAGGATTCTTTCTCATTGAATTGTTACGTTGGCATCTTGAGCACTTTTAGAGTTCTCATTGATATGGAATGTTACGTTAGTCTCTTGTGCCCTTTAGGATTCATTTTCGATGGATAGTTTCGTTAGTATCTCGCGCACTCTTAAGATTCTCTCTCGTCGGAGGTAAATTAGTTTTATGGACAAAGTATAAGGCGCATGGTGAAGTTAACCACAGAAATTCGGAATTCTTTCGAAACTCAATTGAAAATTGCTCTGAAATTAAAGTTTTGTTTAACCACAGACACTCAATCTTCCAAAACCTTATGAAGGAAACTGCCATGACAAAGAGATTACTAGCATACCTGGCTATAACAAGTACACGATTCCTTCTTGCCAAGAGATTTGTGTGACCAACTTTGTAATTAATAAGTGTGGATGCAGGGACGCTTTGATGCCAGGTAAGTCATTAAAGGTGCGTTTCGCTAACCATTTGTTAGTCTGTGAGCAGGCGCTCATCAGATCAGCCGCTTAGGACGCACACTTTTATGCCCGTTGGGGATCTTATCTATATATATGTAAATCTTGATTATAGTCTGTCTTTTTTGTATAGTGCTTGATATGTTCGCAGAGTGTGGTATATCTGAACGTTGGACAAATCAATAAGACAACTTTTCTGTGACTCTGATGAGTTTCACGCCTACGCGATCATCAGACAGATTTTAATATTTTAATCTAATATTACTAAGACAATAAATCGCCTCAGAGTCAGTGGCTAGTGGTGAATATCAACCTCGCTGCTTCACCACTCCCACTTTAGTGACTAGTTGCTAATTCTCAGGAGCCGATGGGGCTTCTGATATGATGTACTTCGTTACAAATTATAAATCTTGATTCACAAGCAGAAACTCAGCTTTGCTCAGGTTCTATAATTCTTTTACTTGCTCAAACTGTTAGGTCTTTTAGATGACAGGTATTCATGAGTAACTTATGACGGCAAAAATTAAGCAATGCATTTGAAGCGGTGTGTGTCCTTCTCAACATTTTAGCTTGTCATTTTTGCAAAACCATTATTTCGTATCAATAATACTCTTGTTATTGGGTTATGACTTGTTAAAAATCATACCGCTAAATGTAAATTGAGCGCCGGTGAATAACTTTACACACTTTTGCGAATAAATAATATCATACCAAAGTTTACAGGTACGTATTCAGAAGTGTCAGCCGATAGGGGGCTTCAACTGGGGGCTTGAGGCGAGGAGACCACTTACCTATCAGATTAATAGATGCCGGCGTGCGCGGAAAAATTGGGGTTCATTTTTTATAAAAAAAAACCTATAAGAAAATCAGTGCTCTTGTTAATTTTCGCTTCTCTCGACTTTTTCACAGACATAAACAACACCAAAGTGTGTGGATTGCGCGAAATCAAGAATTGTCTAGAGAAAGAGATGAGTATGTAGAAATTTATATTACTTGGTTTTATAATAGTTATGATAAAATCTGTTAAATCGCGTGTATTTGGGAACGAATAATCTCGTACCTAGATCTTATAGTGTGACTGTAACTGAAATGTACACTTTCAATCGCTTGGCCGTAGAATGTCTGAGTAAGAGACTGGCAAACGAGGGTATACCAAGTGTTTCATCAAGATTCATTTACTCTCCAATTCCAACTGCCTGTCATCACAAATGAATGAGGCAGGCCAAGACGTAACTGGAATACTTCCTTAGCCTTTCACTGCATGCCCTCAAAGCATTTACAGGAGGATTCCTCCCATCCACAAGCCCTCTCACAATGTCATGACAATGGGATTTTGAACTCGCTTGTATTTGGAAGGTAAAAAATTCACTTATGTGAAAATGTTTTTATTGCTTCTTTCAGTCAACTTTTACAGTAGAATAGATGACCAGTGTGAGTGCCCAGTACCTTGTGATTCAATCTCCTACAATCCCATATTGTCATACGCTGACTTTCCGAGTAACAATTTTATCGAGGATTATGTCAAACGACGAGGACCCAATTTTACAACAGATTCATTGGAAGAGAAACAAGAAAGCATGAGGTAATCGTATTGTAGTTTTGAATAATGAAAATTGTGTTGAGCCATGGAGTAACAAAAGTTAAAGTGGCTGAGCAAAAGTCAAACAAAAGTTAGCGAGCGTTGACCCTGAATTAGGTATACAAGGGTTGATAAAAGTTTGGGGAGGTTAATAACGAGCTTGGACACTGAATAAGGTACACAGTGGTCAGATTCACGGTAGGAGAGGACGGTAGTAGATGAAAACATCCTCTATCCTCCGGTTCCTAATACTGTTTTTAATTGTAACTACAGATGGCCTCCATTAAGAGTTAAAAATAAGCTACTTAGAAGTGGACCTTGAACTAAAATTTCGTGGCATATCCTAAGCCCCTAAATATGACCAGATGCGACTCAATTAGCTATATTTCTCTCTTTTCAATGACGAGCTTAGTGTCATATCAAGTAACAGAATCCTCACAGGTGAAACTGAATTTAGAAAGATAATTTTCCTGACTCCCAGCGAGGAGTGTCAATAATTCAGTTGGCAGTAACACCTAACCGAGCTTCAAGGGGGCATGGGTTCGAGGTCCGTCGTGCTTTTTCATCTGTGAGGTCATTTTGTTATTCGCTATCACACAAAGTTCAAAATACAATTTCTCTCAATGATTTGTGATGAGGCAGTTTCATTGATAAGTCTCTTGGGGTCAGGTACATATAACACCAAACTGAAATTATATGAACAGCCAGTAAAATCAGTAAATGCTGACATTTCACTTGGGAAATGACACCTGAAAAAATCTGATCTCGGGATACGAGTGGAGCGTTGTCCACGGCCCCACGCCATTTGGACCGTCAGTGAAATTAAATAGAGGATTAAGATTTTCCACCCCTGTAGCCGGCTACCTGCACTTAACTTTTTGTTTCATATTTAATACCTCAACAGCCAGAATCAGCTGGAACTGCGCGTGTATTTTCAAGAACTTAATTACCAAGTCATCGAGGAAATACCTGCTTATAACTATGAAAGTCTGTTAGGTACGTGTCGGCGTAAGATCCACAAATTGGACTTAAGCTTTTTTTAAGTACATGGTCCAGTTGTGTGGGATAAAAAGATTTAGTCATTTCAGAGCAATCAAATTTTTCGTTGAGCAAAGCTCCGGGATGGCTTAATTTTCTGTCAGACTGACTGCTCCCTTCTGATTGTCACTTTGGGTGCTTAGTTGCCAGGCCTCTGGAGAAGGTCCAGGCCAAAAGTGACGTCACTTTGGTTATAATCCAGGTGTTTCTCAGCTGCAAATTACTTCTATATCGTGCCGACAATTTCCTCCTTTCTATCGATCATGAAGGAACCCATCGTCTCTTTAATCTTCAAAACCTTGACAGCTATGCCTATGACAGTGACAATGAACATTATAGAAAGATCCTAGTTTATCACATCATAACTGTTGTTGGATGTCAAAAAGACTAAGATCTTAATGCTTGCTTTTCACCACAGGTGAAATCGGCGGTCAAGTTGGTCTCTGTGTTGGCGCCAGTCTCTTGACCGTGCTTGAATTCTTTGACGTCATAATTACTATCGTCGGGATACGGCTGGGATTTAGATAAACTCACAGACTGAACCATATGATAGTTTTCAGTGAGGCCCTATACTACTATAAAAAAAATAGAAATGAGGCCTCTGTAGCTGAAGAGATTTAATTTAGCCTCTAGACACAAAAATCGCCCCCAAAATCATAAGCTTCAGCAAGCTTGTGTGGCTGCGAGTAACCTCGTGAATCACAAGCTTAACCAGTTGGGCCATTTTAAACTTAGCGAGAGTCTTCTCTTTAATCATAAATGTTTATCCAAAGCATAACTTCTTTAGTTAACAAAGCAATCAGTATCATACTCGCGAATGGTCATACGCAATAGAAAGAAAAACGACTGCGGTAAAGCCTTTTTAATATACGTCATGTCATCCCTGGCAATGCCGCCCCAACTCACCTCTCCCAAGCCAAGTAACCAAAATCATTCCTCAATATTACTATATCGCTATCTGTAAACTCAAGTCACCAAATATGAAAAAGTTACTGAATTTAATAACTAATGGTGTAATGGGGTATCAGTCTCTAACAAGAGAATATCAACCAGTTAATATTCTCTTGGTCTATAACTAGTCTTCATTTCTCTCCCCTAATTTCAACGCTTTTCCAGGCCTGATAACATACTCAAGTTGGATACGTTTGCCGTAGGCGATTGAGAATTTTCAAGGAGCTGACTTGAGGGATTGAAATGTGTTTGGCAAGAGCAAGCACTGCCATTCGTTATTATTGAACACGATTCATTGGTATTGACTTTTAGAATAGTTCAAAGTAATAAAGAGAATATCGGAAATCCTATTTCTTAAATAAATCGATTAGCCATTCTTGCCTCTATGAGAAACTCTGAAAATAAGATTGAAAACTTATTTGCAGAGATGTCCTAATTTGTCCGTTCCATGTATTGTTTAGTAACAATTTCTTTGAGCTTACCGAAGAGCGTTGGACAACTTTGGTAAGTAGATGCATTTAAATAGATAAAAAAAGTTACATGGTGTCAATTCAGTAATTTTCAATGGCCCTTTTCAGACAAAATGCTTGAAAAAAGAAAATCTATCATTAAAACACTAAGCTTTCTTACTGTTAAGTTAAATGCCAGTGAAGGAAATCACTAATTTTAAGTCAAATTGAACCTTGCCAAACTTCATCTGGTAAATAACATTGCTTAGGGGGAAAAATGATCCAGGATTAAATCTTGTGTAAGTCAACTCCTCTTAGTGTAAGATGAAATTGGTAAACATCTGGGTGCTGGTCTAGAGACTGATCTGATTCTGTTAGACTTTGCAAAGGCATTTGACTGTCTGCCTCACCAAACTGCTTCAGAAACTAAGTTAGTTTGGTGTACATGGTCCTCTTCTCGCTTGGTTTGAAAACTACCCCAGCCATCGAATGCAACGCGTGGTCGTCAATGGATCTTTCTCAAACTGGAACCCGTTAAAGTCTAGTGTCCTTCAAGGATCTATACTGGGACCCATTTTGTTCTTAGTGTATGTTCATGACTTACCAAATGCTTTAAGTCACTGCACATTGGCAATGTTCGCGGATGACTCCAAATTACTTAAAGTATAAGGAACTACCGTCTTTCGTCAAAAAATTAAAATCTTTCTTTTATCTAAGACTTAGCAAAGTTTTCAATCAAGACGACATCCGTTCTTTTAAAATAGTTTGTGTAAAATGTCGTCGTTTTAATGCTCTTAATTCTTGTGCATGTTAATCAATTTTTTTTTTCTTCTTTTCTTTCGTCAATGATTATATATTTTGTTATTTCCTAGCATGGGGGCTTATAAGTCGGTTGGGTTTTCTGTCAGACTGACTGCTCCCTTCTAATTGTCACTTTTAGAACTGAATGATCCACTTGACGGTTGGGTGCTTAGTTGCCAGGCCTCTGGAGAAGGTCCAGACCAAAAGTGACGTCACTTTGGTTATAATCCCGGTGTTTCTCAACTGCAAATTACTTCTATATCGTGCCGACAATTTTCTCCTTTCTATCGATCATGAATGACAATACTTTATTCAAGAGAAGGAAAATAAAAAATAAAATTGTAAAAGTATCTCTCGAAAGGGGATATTCTAGAGGTTAACCCTATACAAAAGATTCCCCGAATGAAGGAACCCATAGTCTCTCTCCTCTTCAAAACCTTGACAGCTATGCCTATAACAGTGACAATGAACATTATACAAAGATCCTAGTTTATCACATTATAACTGTTGTTGGAGGTCAAAAAGACTAAGATCTTAATGCTTGCTTTTCACCACAGGTGAAATCGGCGGTCAAGTTGGTCTCTGTGTTGGCGCCAGTCTCTTGACCGTGCTTGAATTCTTTGAAGTCATAATTACTATCGTCGGGATACGGCTGGGATTTAGATAAACTCACAGACTGAACCATATGATAGTTTTCAGTGATGCCCTATACTACCATAAAAAAATAGAAATGAGGCCTCTGTAGCCGAAGAGATTTAATTTAGCCTCTAGACACAAAAATCGCCCCCAAAATCATAAGCTTCAGCAAGCTTGTGTGGCTACGAGTGAATCACAAGCTTAACCAGTTGGGCCATTTTAAACTTAGCGAGAGTCTTCTCTTTCATCATAAATGTTTAACCAAAGCATAACTTCTTTATTTTTAAATGATGGTACTTATAAAGTAGATCTAGTAATAAAGGCATTTGAAACTGAGCCAAACGGGCCTGGAAAGCTATCGAGATACCGCGCAATGCACAAAAACATAAGGCAAGAGCATGGCTTAAATGTAACTAAAGATCAACTTTACCGAACTAGATCCCGACGGATTCGAGGCGAGGGGATGTGTTGGTGGAAAGAAATTCGCACTTTTTCCTTCCTAACAGAAAATCAAGAACTGTTTTTATTAAAGTTTTTTTTCCGAAACGTTCCTTGGTCAGTTTCATCTTACTTCTTATTTGTAAATTCCATGTAACATGACATCTCTCCACACACTGACAAATTTGCACTTTCACTTTGAAATCCAATCCGCATACTTGTTTACAAACGTGCGAAAAGATCAACCGATTTTTATCTTTTATCTTGATTTTAGAGTAAAAATTTAATATGCATCTATCGCTTTTTTTGTTGAAAGTAAGTTATTAATAAGGTCATCTTTCACTGGAGCTTGGTTTTGAGAAAAGATGTTTTATAAAAATTTATCGGGCATTGTGTTTGCTTTTCCGGTTTCTCCAAAATTTTAACTTTTGGATAGGAACGCGTTACACGTAGGTGTCAATGGGTTAATGTCTCATAGGTTCAGACCAACGGGAACTTTTTGTTTATCTCAGTGTCATTGCATGCCCCTCTTTTTCTGTTCATTCCCCTTCCACTTCCTATTAAGGGTCACCCAGACACCTTTTTGTTTTCTTTTTTTTTTTTTTTACATGGGTATACCACCTATCACAGTCTTCAAGGTCCTATCGCTCTGGAAAGTTATCGATGTGGTCCGGTATTCCGTCCGGAACTACTTGAAGTACTATTGCGTTATTTTTTTGTGCATTGCGTGGTACTCCAATAGCTTTCCAGGCCCGTTTGGCTCAGTTTCAAATGCCTTCATAACGTGATCTACTTTAACAGCACTATCATTGAAAAATATGTCAAAATGACGAAGCCTTCTATCAAGCATCCTTAGACTCCACGCGTAAAGCGGAAAGTCACGAGTGAGGAAATCTAACATCTCTCATCTTTGTAATCTTTGCCCGACATATTTTAGCAAAGCCTCTTTAAGATCGGCATTATTTTTCCACAAGGCCTCTCTGAAATCTGACATCGAAATACTAGAAAATTCTTTTAAATCACTCAAGCTCAAAACAACTTCACAACTTAAGTATATGGACACAACGCACGATGGGACATACAATCACGCCCGCACAGTATCATGGTAGTGGCAACCCTCGGCCACAGCGATATTCACTTAGATTTTTGTTTTGATTTGATTTTCAATTTATTTTTATTTTTCCGTGAATTGCCCTTGGATTTCAGTTTAATTTTGAAATGAATTTTACTTTGATAATGCAATTACTTTTGCTTTTAAATTTGCTTGCTACTTCAATTTACTTTCAACATGTTCAATCGTTCTTTTTCCTTTGTTTTGCAGTCACGTTCCATTTTACTTTCAGTTTTGATTTATTTTTTCTTTTATTTTTTATTAAATCTTTGAAAAATTGTAAAATTTTGAGTGGCAGCCCTCGGCCACCATAAACGTCTATTAGAACTGAACTTACTTCCCCTGAAATATTGGCTGGAATAACTAGACATTGTCTTTTTATTTAAAGAAAAATTAGGTTTAATTGATCTGAAAAGAAACGAAACGATTTCTTTGAGTTTTGTAGTGGGCGCTTGCGCCGAGGCGACACTGGTCTTGTTCTCAGAAACAAGAAAGTTAAAACCTAACTCTATAGAGATTCCTTTTTTCTAAGAATCTGTAACATATGGAACGCCTTACCAGATAACATAAGAGCTGAAAAGGAACTACCGTCTTTCGTCAAAAAATTTAAAAATCTTTCTTTTATCGAAGACTTAGCAAAGTTTTCAATCAAGACGACATCTGTGCTTTTAAAATAGTTTGTGTAAAATTTTGTCGTTTCAATGCTCTTAATTCTTGTGCATGTTAATTAGCTAGTTTTTTTTCTTTTTCTCTTTCGTCAATGATTATATATTTTGTTATTTCCTAGCATGGGGGCTTATAAGTCGGTTGGGTTTCAATTTTGTCTGTTTGTAGGGGTTAGAGAAATGTAATTTACCAAGTAGGGGACAAACTTGTCCTATTGTAAGTTTACCTACCTTCGGCAAATTGTTAAATTTAAAAAAGAAATTTAAAAAAATAGGATTCGTGACGCCAACAAAAGGTTTTAAAACTTGACCTTGGCAAAAGTCCAGTAGCATTGATGACTCAAATTAAAATGAGATCTGTTTTTCTCGATTTAATTCCATTTTGTCAAATGAGGATCATCAAAAGTGATTTTCTGCTACCTCGCTTTCCATTTTTTCCTTTTTTCGCATTTTTATTATTGTGTATCCAGCTGTTGTTTTTACTAAGAACTG